GCATTTGCTTCTAATAAAATTATTTGTTACGGATTTTATCGCGTTTAATTTACTTACGTGAGTTTAATAATAATTTTATGTAAAGTATTTATACGTCGGGAATTAAAAATAAGAAAAAGTTGTGAAATAAACGCGATAAAATCCGTAAATTTAGTTTTATTCCATGTGTAGTGTTCGCGTAAATTTAAGAAATCATTAAGTATTTATGCTTTTATATTTTTTATCAATAATTTTATGTTTCCAATTTTCGACGTTTCAGGTACATCGGGGGAGGGGGATAGTTTCCTTCAATGTTTCAGTTGTATTCGTGTTAATATAAGAAATCGTGCATTTGCTTCGTTTAGAACATTTTTAAACTAAAGTCTGGAATTCGTGACTGAACTAAGGATGCACTTAGCGACAGAAACCTGACCGCTTATCGGTCTATCTAGACTTCGGTTACGCCGCGAGAGCCGCCAGAGCAGAATTACAGCAGTTTCAATATCAAAATGTTACCTTTTAATGCTCCTGCCTTTCCCCGTTATTTTTAGGAACCTCTTTATTTCTCAAAGTCGTTTTGATCTATTTTACTCGACTGTCTCAGATAAAGGCAAAGTTTTTCGAGAGCATGTAATATCTATTTCTTTGGAGGTGTCATAATAGTTTATATTTACGCGAATTAATATACGTGGTAGAGCCATGCTGCAGTTATATTAGTAGTATAGTTGTAGCACGAATGGGTCGGCTCGACCGGGGAAGGACCACGCTCTCACAGAATACCAGCGTGAAATAGTAGCTTAATGCTGCTGTATTTCGTATGGTGAGTGTAGAGAACCGGAGACCCTTTTTACTGGAAACGAGGCATTCCATCTTAGTCCTCACGGGTGACAACGCATCTGCATTTTGATTTGTAATCGAGGATAGATGTAGATGTCTATGGGCCGCGGCAATCACTTACCACCATGCAGCTGTGTTTCGTATGGTGAGTGTAGAGAACCGGCGACCCTTTTTACTAGAAAAGAGGCATTCCATCTCAGTCCTCACGGGCATCCGCATTTTGATTCGTAATCCAGGATAGATGTAGATGTCTATGAGCCACAGTAACCACTTACCATCAGGTGGACTGTGTGCTCGTTTGTCACACTATCCTATAAAAAATACTGCACATTAAATGAAACTAATCTTTCATTCACTAGATGTCGCTAGCTGTGACTTAGGTAAAGTTTTTATTACACAATGTGAGTAAATTCTGAAATTAATTTTAATAACAGTTTATCAGTTCCTAGAGACATACCTTGGGGGAGGCCTATGTTCAGCAGTGGACGTGTGAAGGGCTGTAATGATAATGATGATGATGATGATATAGATCATTATGTTATGGAGCGGATATCGACACAGGCAAACGTAGTGTGTGACACTCGCTAATAAGACAGAGAATGGTGCCGAAGACCGGATTAAGTGGCGCACTCTGGGAGGGCCTTATGTCCGGCTAATATAGATCAATTATAATACAAATAAATCAAAAAGTGCTTGCAAAAATGACGTTTATAGCATGAAGCTGTCAGTAAACCCAATTATATTCCAGCCACAGATTCTAGCTTGAGCGTAATGCACAGTACTTAGGTGATAAACACCTTTTAGAACTGGACAGGACATGAACGAAAACATTGCGATGTTGTCGTTCATGTCCGGTCCAGTTACGACGCATCGTAAGGAAACCTAATAAATAAAAATTAAAAAAAATGTTTCAAGTCATGTGCAATCTGCCAACACTCTTAGAGGCAACGCGGCGGATATTTACTAGCCCTAAAACCCTCTGAGAAACGATAGCAGGCCTTTGCCCAGCTGTGGGACACATATAGGCTGTGACTTTACCTGAGATTCATCAAAAATAATTTACAACCTAGAATTTATATATTTATGCATATATTTACTCAACATAACTAAGTGATAAGAGTGCTACTGGGCATTTGGACGAAACGTTGTTTTGCGGCCTCTATAATGCATACAACAAATGATTGGTATGATTTAACAGCGTTAGTCTTACCGACCGAATACGATATGGATGTGTTCAAGAGAACAGTAGAGAAATGTCAGAAGAAAAGAGAAGACTGCACTTACCATCTGACGGAATAGTAATTAAGCAGCAGTTTTTTTTTAAATGATGTCCTCCAAACCGAATTTCGGTCACGGCAGCCAGTCTCAACGGAGACTAGCCATCCGCGCAGGACAAGATTATAGTGCCCAAGTGTATGCCCAAGCACAGGTGCACTTTTTCTTCCCTCATTTTCATAGTCCGATGAGACGGTAATTCGACACGACCGTAGAGAGATTAGGGGCAGGACTAACGACTTTACGTGCTTTCCAAGACACGGGTATGAAACACCACAAAATTTCCTGTGAGAATATTACTTGATACGAAAAACCCTTTAACTGATCAATATCAAGCCAATGTCCTGGGTTTGAATCCTAACTCGGGTCAATGATCATTCAGCAATCGCGTTTCCGACTACTTGACCAACAAAATAGTAGTTTTTTTTTTAAATAAGGTCTAGTTGACTATTATTACTGTCTTAGGCCGTAAAGCCCTGAGTTGTATGTGATTATAGTGATGAAGCTGTAAAATGCAAAAGGCCAAAAGGCCTAACATCACAGGACAAAGAGTCTTTTAGTGCGGTATTCAGAGAAAAAACCTTATAGATTCAATCTTCACAATGATTTTTTATATTAACGCGAACACCACATATTGAATAAAACTACTTTTACGGATTTTATCGCGTTTCATTTTAATTCCCAACGTCCTTGCGGATTGCAACGGATTTGCAGCATCCATGGTCACTGAATGTTCCGATGCCAAAGTTAACTCGTAGTACTTTCAGCTTTTTAATTACTACTTGTGGTCCGATAAACGCGAAATAAAAAAAAACAAGTGGTAAACTTAAAAATTTTGTACAAGCGATTTCAGTATAAATATAATGAGAATATCATCAATGTATTCAAAGTCAGTAACCGTGGTAGCTCAGAGGTTAGCGCTCACTGTAAATTTCATAGTACGCAAGCAAACCGGGTTCGATCCGCCAGCATCAATTGTTAATTGCAATTTTAAGTGCTGATTTATAACGTGCTCGGCGGTGAAGGAAAACATCGTGAGGAAACCTGCATGTCAGAGAAAAAAGAAAAAAAATATTTCGAAGACATGTGAAGTTCGCCAACACGCATTGGGGCAGCGCGGCGGAAAATTCCTTGCCCTTATACCCTCTCAGAAATGAGCGGAGTCCTGTGCCCAGCAGTGGGACGTATAATAGGCTGTAACTTTACTTCTTTACTTTTATTCAAAGTCAATTAAATGCGTATTTAAGGATAACTCATAAACTACTGGTCAGATCTTGATCAATTGAACCGTACTAGAAACACCAGCTTTCAAATAAAAAAGGGATTATCAAAATCGGTTCACCTTGAAAAATGTTCTGAGGTAACACAGGTACACATATAAAAACATACAGTCTAATGGAATACCTCCATCTTGTTGAAATCGGTTAAAAATAGAATTATACGCAATAAAATCGGTAAGTATTTTTTTTATTTTATTTGACTTTACAATGTCAAAACCTGTGTAAATAACAAAGCTTAGACTCAAATTTTTACAATAAGATTGAGTTTAAACTCAAGATAGTTTCTGAATACTGGTATGTGCCACCGATAGCGCCGTTTATGCTAATATAATTACAACTGGTTGAAAAAATCAACAAACCGTACTGTATAAGTATCTAATTATGTAGGTAAACTCGTTAAGAATATCTACTTAAATAGTGTTTTTTATATAATAATAAAAAAAACACAGTCCACCTGATGGTAAGTGGATACTGTGGCCCATAGACATCTACATCGATTAAGAATCAATATACAGACACCCCTTAGGCCTAAGATGGAATGCCTCGTATCCAGTAAAAGGGTCTTCGGTTTCTCTACACTCACCATTAGAAACACAGCAGCATTAAGCTGATATTTCACGCTGGTATTCCGTGAGAGCGTTGTCCTTCCCCCTTCGATCAACAACAGTCTTCCCCGGTCGAGCCGACCCGTTCGTGCTACAACCATAATATAGCTGCAGCCTGGCTCTACCACGTAATAAATAAATTTACTTTGGAAAGTAGGTTAAGATTAAGAAAGCCTTCTATAAGAATGAAGGGTTTATTTTTCTCATAAATCTTAAGATAGTACTTAAAACGAACACAATGTTTTACATTTAATTATGTAAATACAAATGAGTAGAGTAATTGAAATGTATAGGTGAAGATAACGACATTAGCAATTCAACGTAAACGCGGTAACTGGAGAATTTCTCAATTTTAAATATATGCATAAAGAGGTTCAAAATACAGGTGAGCAAACACACCAATCGAATACCACACACATAATGTTTGTTTTGATACAATGCGGACGAAGTCAGGCGCATTCCTGTAGCGAGGAACGCGTCACTGCGACATTCAACACCTAAACATTTGTCCAACTTCCTTGCTCTGTTACAATAACTTGTGATCAATATTGCAATGGCTGTCTAAATTTTCCGTGGTCCGGATTATTTTTTTTCGTATTTCAAATTTGTTTGAATGTCAAGAAACACAGACTGTATTTTGTCGGAACTTAAAACTGGACACGATTTACATTTTATATTCATATAAAGTGGAAAAAAAAAACTGTGAGCGCGCCACCCTATAAGTAACAGGGGTGAATGAAGTTTCTTAATCCGTCGCCAAACAGGACATACATGATCCTCAATAATTTTAAGAAAGAGCTAAAGACGAACAAACCTTAATATAGACTGTTGAAATACATATCATGGTTTTTTCTACCGACAAAATGAAAAAGAATTCAAGTCATATACTTTGTAGGTTGTAAATAAAATTAGGAATTTAACTTACGGACAGTGTGTTACCACACAAATCCGTTAAAAGCCATCGCCCTAACCGCATGTCGGATGAATCATAAATTAATATTTTAATTAGTTCATAATTACTCACCTGAATGCAGTGCGATGTCTTCTAACTCGGACCCGTTAACGTTTAAAAACCTTACACTGTCTTTCGTTTCACCTTTTTAATTTAAATAATTGCAGCCTGGTTATGTGTTAGTTGGATTAATTTTGAATGAAGCGGTATGTCTTCGCGAAGTCGTTTCGTTCGAGTCGGCCGCCCGGCGCACTAGAGGGTCACTTGAGGTCGGTCTGTTTTTTTTTTTCGGTTTATTTGCGTGCGTTGGAGCGGATTACACGTGTGGTGCGTTCGGCTACCGAGCGATCACTGTATGGTGTATGCGATTCTGCGCCGGCGCAAGTCCAGCGGGCTTCCTTCTACTTGCCTCCCATCCCTCTACCGGAGCCTTCATGCCCTTAACAACTGACCGAATGTTCTGAGAAAGCAACGTCCGCCCGATACCTACCCATCTAATAGTGCTAAGTACATACTTATCAACATCTATAAGTATTATTTAAGACAGGCTTACTACTGTAAAATTTTGAAGCCATAGCTTTAATTCAATTTATACCTTTTAAGTTATTAAGGATAACATAATTATTTTTCACACATAAAAATAAGAAAGGTTTCTTGAATTATTGCAATTTTGAATGTAATAAATTTTGGGATCGGTTATTTACTCTCACTAGGAACATGATACCTTGCCTCGATATGTAGCGAAAATATAATCATATAAATATATAAAATCTTATACGTGGTAGAGCCATACTGCAGTTATATCAGTAGTATAGTTGTAGCACGAATGGGTCGGCTCGACCAGGGAAGGACCACGCTCTCACAGAATACCAGTGTCAAATAGTAGCTTAATGCTGCTGTGTTTCGTATGGTGAATGTAGAGAACCGGAGACCCTTTTTATTGGAAACGAGGCATTCCATCTTAGTTCCTCACGGGTGACAACGCTTCTGCATTTTGATTCGTTATCGAGGATAGATGTAGATGTCTATGGGCTACAGCAACCACTTACCATCAGGTGGACTGTGTGCTCGTTTGTCACCCTATCCTATAAAAAAAACAATGTTCAACATGGAAAGGTAAAACCCTTTTTAAACTGAAACCTTTTATTTTGCATAATCAATCATTTTCATAAGTCTTTTAAACATAATGTGTGAATTAAGAATAGGTGTGGGCCTAAAACCGATCCCCGAGGAACACCCGTCCTTACTATAGAATTGTATAACAAATCTACTAAAAGGGTAAAGTTGTTTGTATGTATGTAGTAACTCTGGAACTGCTGGTTCACTTCTAATATATACTTTAATTCATGTAGTTTTGTGGCAAGAAAGGTATTTTACTTCCAAGTATAGGCTATATCTTATTGTGATGTAAATGAACAAAACGTATTGCAAGATGATGTTGTGACTGGAATTACAAAATGCATGCTTCAGTTCTTTTGACACGTAAAAAGAATGAATGATACCTAACAAAGAGTGACAAAGCATATTTCTGCTGCAGAAGTGAGTGGCAGACCTAATTGTTGATATGTTGAATATGGGCCAAATTAAAAGTACGTTTAACCAACAAACATTTATGCTTAGAGATATCGATGTAAAAGAAACGAGAAAGATGTATCAGGATCGTGCTAAATGGAAGACCGTAGTCTCTGCATATAGTCTCGTAGTATCCGACTATCAGATTTAAGTTGAGAAGTAAGCAATTTAAATATCTTTTATTACCAAGAACCTATTAATTACAGGCAAGGAAGGATTTTTCATTCATTAAGTCGGCATATAAAATATAATAAGATACGTTTCTTCATTACCATCATCATTACATTCCTTTAGAGGTCCAATACTAAACATAGATCTACCAAGGAATGCATCAAAGTACGGTCCAGAGCCACTTGCATCCATCGACATTCTGCACCTCTTACCAGGTCCAGATAGTCACGCCATCCAATGGAGGGCCAATCTACATAGTGCGAGGCTGCCACTAGATTACCTTTCATCCCCAAGGGTTGTCGGTTCTTTGAGCTATATGACTGGTTGACTGTCCCATACAACAATAAACAAAACCAAGCCGCAGCTTGAATCACCTGTAAGTTTAGTGGTGGTATTCATTCCATGATTATTTAAATTATCTAAATAACTACATATGTATGTACAAATAATTTTCATAATAAGGAATCCGCAAAAACGAAATTAAATGACATAACTAGCCAGAAGGACTCCCTGGCAGAAAAGGAGCTACGACGGCTTCGTGGTGCTGTGACTTAGCAATTAGTAGCACCGCTAAAGACACCGGGTTCGTATCCCGCTCTATTTAAATGACCTACAAATAATTGTTCCGGGTCTGAGTGTTTGTCCTTGTGATAAAATATGTATGTAAATTGCCCCATGGTACGGTAGAAAATCCGTGAGGTAACGTTTTTAAAAAATAAAAATAAAGCTCTATCGACTATAAAACTTACCGTTACAGCCTACTAAAGTCTACAGCTGAACATCTGCCTCCCCCATAGATTGCCTCATAAGAGAGATATTTGCCATAGTTGCCAAGCTTGGTAAGCGGGTTGGCCACCGCAGTTTTCTTTTTAAATTTTTTAGTTTTTATTATCGCCTCTTAAGACATCCATGGCACGACTAGAAACCTTATATCGCATTAAGTAACTGCGTAGTTGAAATGAGAGCCTTTTACAGTGACAATAAAAAGTTTAAAAAACTAATCAACAGCGCACTTGGAGTCGCGTCTACCACCAAATATCGGGACCAGACTTTGTGACTTTTTTTATAGGACAGGATGACAAACGAGCACACAGTCCATCTGATGGTAAGTGGTTGCTGTGGCTCATAGACATCTACATCTATCCTCGATTACGAATCAAAATACAGATGCCCGTGAGGACTGAGATGGAATGCCTCTTTTCTAGTAAAAAGGGTCGCCGGTTCTCTACACTCACCATACGAAACACAGCTGCATTATGCTTCTATTTTACGCTGGTCTTCCGTGAGAGCGTGGTTCTTCCCCGGTCGAGCCGACCCATTCGTGCTACAACTATACTACTAATATGACTGCAGCATGGCTATACCACGTATAAAAACTTACGTATAAAAACTTTTGGCACTGAAACAACATATATACCATTATAATGTAAATATAAGTTATTGTGGTCCATTAATATATAAAAAAGTTAAGTCAAGTTAGACTTAAGCACCACCTATCTGATTCTAGCAAAGCTGGGAGCCATCATTTTCTTTCTATTATAAGCCAGTGTTGACTACCATCCCAACTGACGGTAAGTGGTGGTGCAGCCGAAGATAGTCAAGCGCACTGACTTAGCTTTGCAAAAGCCTATTCACTCTTGCCTTAAAGACACACTCATTATGATCGGATTTAAACACAGATGCTGGCAGATTATTCAACTCCTTTGCTGTACGGATTACGAACGTCAAAGTAAACCGTCTAGTACGAATAATATGTGTGAAATGAAGAGAGAGGAATTCCTCTGTGGAAAATGTCGCTGTTACACAATGATATAATTACGTTTTTAATATGTTATTTTAAATATTGTATAACAATTTTGCCCTAAATAAAATTAAAAAAAAACTGACATACAATTCGCCACTTAAAAATTTAAAGCTTAAACCAGACTTGACAACAAAACAAAACCCGGTGCGATTTAAAAAAAAAAATCGCATTAGATGTAGCTTGGTAGCGAGCACATTATTCCCATTGGTTACTGTCATCCCTAAAGTTTAAAATTTTATTTAAACCGTTTTATTCAATTTGTTTTTTTTTAAGACGATAACACCAGTAAAATTATTTTTATTCTATGTAAGGTACGTGAGGGTAATATGGTCACTTTAATCTTTGCTGCTTTATAAAACCAAAATTAGAAGAAGGACAGATACAAAAACACAAAGTCTTATACTATAACCAATACACTAAGAAAAAAATAGCAAACAAGCTTTGGAAATAATTAGGAACATTACGAAAATTTAACTTAAAAAAACTATCTACGCTAAACAATACTAAAATCGACTATTTTTTTTACTATAATGTCAACTGTCAAAATAGCGTTAATAAAATCATCTAATTCCTGCGCTCATGTGTAACGCGTCCATGCCTTTTTTCAGCAGTCCACCTGATGGTAAGTGGATGCTGTGGCTCATAGACATCCATATTTGTCCTCAATTAAGAATCAATATGCAGATGCGTTGTCACCTGTGAGGACTAAGATGGAATGCCTCGTTTCCAGTAAAAAGGGTCTCCGGTTCTCTACCTGCTCCTGCCCCGGTCGACCCGACCCATTCGTGTTACAACTATAATATAGCTGCAGCGTGGCTCTACCACGTAAAAATTGTTGGTAGCACTAAGATCGAAGTTATTGGCGAGTATGTTGACCTAAGATAATATTTTATTAACTCACAGCAAAAATATATAGTATGTTCCAAAATAGTGTTCCATTTTTTTAAAGTATTATTTTATGCTGCTTTGATGTTTTTTGACATCCGCAGGCCAGAATCATCCTTTATTAAGTAACATTTGAAAAATAGATACGTTTGGTAACTCATCTTATTACACAAAATTACACCATAGTCAACCAAATCTAAAAAACACCTTTTGACGTTTCACATTAATCATTCCGTAATAACTTTGCACAAGCGTACTCACACTATTTAAAATAACCTTTTACGTAATTCCGAAGAATTATGAAGTTATCTATATTTCATTACAACGTGTATAGTTTTTTCAAACAAAGCAAAATTTAAAAAAAATAACGTGTATTAACTTTTTTACTTCACATCGTTTCAATGATATGTCGCTATGTAACTTACCGTAGTGTTTGGATGATTAAAATTCATTATTATGCGAAAAATCGGCAAAAATTTTCAAATAATCATTTTCTTTTGATGTATTATTTATTTGTTTAGTAAAATTTTTATTTTCAAAATTCTTTAAATTACATGAATCATGAATACCACAAGTTTAGTTTTTTTACTTTGTCAACGTAAATTTGTGTACGCAAAAAAAAACTCAATTACATGGCCGCGCTGAAAAAACCACTTTCAATCACCCGCCATTTCGGGAGCTTACTGTGCGTAATTTTGTGATTTTGTGTTTGTCTTCTTATTTTGTGTTTTTGAAAGTTAAAGCCGAGAGAAGAATCTTCACTCGGCTTTGAACATTTTGAACTGTTTCTTCTATAATCGTTGAAGCATGTGCCATGTCACAAAAGATATTGGGCAAGTGGTAGAAAAAACAAAAATATTGATTATGGATGACTTTGAAAGAGACATTAATTTTGACTGCATTATTGAAAATCGAATAGTAATTAATCTAAACAACGACAGCTCAACTAGTTGTACCGAAAGTGATTGAATAAATTTATTTTTAATCTTAAAATTTTATAGCTGTGCCTCTAGAAATAAGCAGTATTAACAAATACGAAGAAACTGATAAATCTTGTGTTTTAAATTACCCGTCTTTAATTTATTATGGTATTATTAAAACCAAACTGTAAATGATTACCGACTCTAAATAATCCATATCGATTTTTTTAAGAATCAAATATTGTACGTTTCCATTTTTTGGTTGGCATGCTTGGTGCAATAAGTATGACAGCTGTCAAAATGTATTTCTTAGATTTGGTTGACTATACACCTATCACCTATCCCAGAGAACTAATTTGTGTGTCGGAGACTCAGGTATTCTCATAAAAGTCATATGTAGTAGCAGAAATCTATACTGATATTATAGATTGCGAATATTGTGAGTTACATTTTTATGTGGAGAATAATCTGCGGAACCGGAATATATGTATATATATATATATATATATATATATATATATATATATATATATATATATATATATATATATAATTAAAGTACATATACATACGCTAAACTTACTAAACTTTAAATAACACTAGGATTTTCTCCTGTGTCGTGAAAGCAGGTTACAGACAAATTGCACAAGGGCAAACATCCAGACTAGGAATAATTATTTGTAGTCCACACAAATACTTGTTCCGCGCGGGATTCGAACGCGCGGCCCCCAGAGCTGCAACTCAATACTAAGCCACTGTGCTACGGTAGGTACCGTCAATTCTTATGTTCTTTTGAGAAATAAACTTTTTTGAATCTAACTTCTATTTTAAGATTATCGTCAGCGATGACAATTAAAAGCCGTTTAAAGCACCAAATACCTACTTTACCTTAACTTCTTTCTCTTTCTCAATCGTTAAAAAATAAAAAATCTGACTGCAAAAAACCAATTAAAAATAATTCACTAAATATACCGAAATAAGATTGAGAAAACAAAATTATTGCAGTCGGGACTTTGATTTTGAAATTATTTATTTTATTTTAGACTTTTTAGTGTCCCGACACGTTCTTATGAACTAAATTACGTATGATAACAGGAGGTCCGACACAAACATAGCAGTAGCACGTTTTTACCCGTTCAAAAACTTTTTTAACCAGTTTGTTATACTTAAAGTTAAACATATAACTTGTATATATTATCGTAATTCCCTTTATTTTGATACCCTACTCAATAGGTATGGTTATTTTTTAAATTAATGTATTACTATTTCACGGCAAAAATCCGCCATTTTTTTCAAATAGCTATCTAAGAACACTTGGGTGTTTAAGACGAATGTATCGAAATCTATCCAGCCGTTTGGAAGGTACGAGGTAATAGAAAAATTTACGAACGTACATACATACAAGATACGCGCGAAAAACATAACACTTCCTTGGCCGTCGGGTAAAAATCTTTTTAAACAATTAATTTTTTAAACAAGCTGTGTGCAGTGGCTTCTAAAGCTATATTATATGTATGACAGTTCGTAACATATTCATTACATTGTTAATAAGTCACTCATCAGCATAGAATGCGGGCTAAGTGAAGCGCTTATGGAAACTGCTTGGCGCTATTGCCACCACGTTGCACGGACTGAATTCGGGATCAAATAAAATATACAAAGTTAACAAAGATAGGACGCAATCGTGCTAGCTTAAGCACTAAGCGCTCGCTGTAAGTTACAGTAGAATAGAATAGACTAGAATACAAGAATATGCATAAAAATTAAAACCTGCGGTTGCCAACTGCTTGTCAGGTGTGGCAACCATGGCAAATACCCCGCCCCCCTATGAGGCAACCTATGAAAAAGACTTATGCTCAGCAGTGAACTTGCATGTAACGTGGATAGTGGACGGCACCAATATATTGTTAATTGCATTTTTAAGTGCCGATTTATCACGTGCTCAGCGGTGAAGGATAAATATCGTGAGGAAACCGGCATGCCTTGCATGCCCTATACAGTAAGATGTGAGGTGGAATAAGATGCAGTTTAAAGGATAACAGATAATTTAGTTACAAGGAATCCACAAGGTAAAGCAATATTTTGTGTGTTTTGGGCAAATTTTTTTCCAGACAGAGGTCGAACCTAAGACTTCTATGCCAGTATGACACATATTCTATGACAGTCCACGAACGTCAAGTGTCAATTCTAACATCAAAAACATCGATGTAGCAGAATGGAAATTGTATTGAACAGAAATTATAGTTATAATTTTTTTATTTATATTCAGCCAGTACCTGAATACAATCCCACCAGGTGGTAAGTGGTGGTGAAGCCTAGGTGGTAAGTTGCATCGCCTTAGCGTAACAAAAGTCTATTCATGTAGAAATATCGCTACACTCTCAATTTAAGGGGATATAGTAAGTCAGCTCAAATTCTAATTTCGCCCCCACTTCCCCGCGCGTCGTATGCTATGTACCGACATGTTTGTAATCACTAATACTGTAAGTAGATAGGTCGTTAGATACTTATTTCATTAGGTTTATCATATTTATGCCTGTTTCTTAACGCCAACCCAGTCGCTTCTTATTTTTATTACGGTTATTTCCCATTTTAATTTTACGTCGTTCTGTTGCGTAATGTGTATACCGATCGTAAGCGACACAACCTCCTCCTTCAAAGGCCGAAGCGAAACTGACCGGGCGGCTGGAATCAAGCTTCAAAACGCCGATAGTTTAGGTAATTTCTTTTTACAGTGAAAATAGTGGTATTTAAAAAAAAGTAAATAACATAAGCACTGCTTTATAGTTAGTTCAGTTAGTATGCAAAGTTTCATGATCTTATTTAAAGTATTTTATAAATAACAGCGGTTTATTGTTTATTTTGGAGGTAATTTTGGATTTTTTTTTCTATAGAGAAAATTTTACGGAATCGTTTTTACGTCTAACATAGTCCTTAACATTAATCCTCAACTTTACCATATATTTATTTCAAAATTAATGCTGCAATATTTTCGGCATAACGGAGGATCTTGCTAAGCCATTTGAGGTTATATTTCCCCTTAAGAAGGTCGTGGACAAATTCCAGAAGTGCACAGCAACGAAAAAAAAGTTCATGAAAATTTTTCTGTCGTACATATAAAAAAAAAAGTCTCACAAATATAGTACGTAAGGTGACAGCAGCCTTCGAAGCATTACTTTAACGTCTGAGTTCGGCCATTTTGATGCAAATGCGTGACGTCATCGCTCCCACCGGTGAGGTCACTCGCGTCGGCGTAGCCTTTTTTCCCTCCTCCGTACAGTTATCTTCGATACCTTTCACATGCAGTCATAAATATAAGAAAACGATGTAAACTATAGGTATATTGTACCAAGACTTGGTGAATTATGTACTTTAATTTTTATGTCAATCGCAAAGCGCACAGAAAGCTCATCTCGAATTCAATCAATATCATCATCATAATCATTTATTTCCTCATAGAGGGGATATTTACAATAGTTGCCAGGCTTAACCGGCAAAACAGGTTTGAACCCGCAGTTTTTTTTTAATTTTGTTGACACAAAATTGAAAAACTAACGACCTGGTAAGACATGCAGGAAGTCGATGGATGCAGGTGGCTCTGGATCGTGCTTTGATGTATTCCTTGGGGCGGGCCTATGTTCAGCATTAGACTTGTGAAGGGCTAGGATGATGATCATAAAGATGTTGCTGCCACCTCCTAGTTCATTTCCCTCTGTCGCCTCTTAGGACACCCACGGGATGATAAGGTGTAGGAGTAGCGGAGCCCTTAATGCCACCACTACTTGGCGATGTCCACTAGCAACACTAAAATTGTTCATTGCTAATGATTTAAGTTCTTACTTGGCGATGAAGAAAAACATCGTGAGTGAAACTACTTCTGATACATTAAATATATTTACTGAATATGTAAGCTATAGTGTTACTCCAATGGTCTAATGGTTCTAATCAAGGGTCCGGCCAAAATCATATGTTGGGGGTTCCTGTCAAGAAATTCATAGGAACAGCCCGGAGTAAGGAAGTCGGCGGTGTTTCCTTCTGTGCCGCCGTTTTACTGGAATCGAGGCATTCCATCTTAGTCCTCAAGGGTGACAATGCATCTGCATTTTGTTTCTTAATCGAGGTTAAATATAGATT